TCTGGCATTGTGTGTCTGTTTTTTGGGGCTTTTAAAATTGTATTTTAATCCTATTCAGTCTGTTATTCTTTTCTTGAAATTTTATTGCTGGGTTATTTATTATTTTGTTGAATTGATCATAGTTAAGGCTATTGACTGTTTAATTTGGCCTCTTTTTTCTAATTGTATTCCTTTTTTATTTAAGAAAATCTGATTATTTCATAGTACAACTTTTTTAGTTTTTAATGACCACTCATTCTCCCACTCCAGAATTACCTCTCATGCTGTAATCAGCCAGGCACCATTAGTATGAGTCTTAAAAACTCCCTCACTCACTGATGCACTTCTGGAAATGACAGAATTTGAATGGGTCATTTGATGGGAGTGGAACATCAATACAGAAAAAGTAAAAATCTTACAAATGAAGATGAAATGGTCAGCTGGAACAATTTACAGTAAGCAGAACAAACAAAGGAGCAGAGGACATGCATCCATTAGTTAGAGGTAGAGGCTACCTAGTGTGCTCCATCTAAATAGAGGGGAGTCAAGGTTGGTTAAAAGATTAATGGGTTTACCTTAACAGGCTTGAGTAAAACTGAATGAAGGAACAAAGTGCCAGCCTTTATAATATGCTGTATTTTTATATAATAATCATTGATTTAAATAATTAATTTGTAAGATTTTTAACTTTTTCTGTATTGATGTTGCACGATTCTCCTCAAATGACCAATTCAAATTCAGTCATTTCCAGAAATGCATTGGTAAGTGCTGAAGTTTTTATGACTCATATTGATGGTGCCTGGCTGATTACAGTATGAGACGTAATTCTGGAGTGTGAGAAAAGAAAATTCACAACATTCTTTACAAACTAATTTATGTGAAAACTTAAAGCCTGAAGGAAGCTAAATACCAACAAAGTGTTAAGGGGCCAAAAAACTGATGAGGTATTATGAGTGATTAAACCATGATGATGATGAAGATGAACTATTTGTAATGCGGAAGCACCAAGAGGCCTCATCCCAATGGTGCTAGGGGCTGTATAAACATATAAAGAAAAGATGGTTGCACCCATGTACACCAGTGCTGAATTTGGGCTACTGATACTACAACAGAGCATGTTTGAACTGCTGAAATTGACATTCTGTGGCCCTTTTGATTAAACACTAGTTTTCTGGGTCTTATAGCTCTGGTGTTGTAATTTGCATTAGCTTTAGAAACTTCACACAGAATTTCTTAGGCTGTGAATTTTTTTTTAAATTAACTTCCATCAGTTTAAGTTATCCATTTTATTTTTAAATAATATATAGAAAAGTTTAAGAATCTATGGTAATTTTTTTTTACCCTTTAACTGAAAAGTTCTTAAAAACTGCAAATTAATCAGCAAGTAAGCATGAATGTGTGGTAAACTGGTACCTTTTTTAAACAGATGAATTTTTAAGGCATGCGCGTGAACATCCATAGCTGCTTTTCAGAATGTTGTTGTGATTTTTCACAGAACACATTATTTACCACCATTTGTTCCTATTAATGATTTAGGAACACCCACAGACCCAATATCTCCTACAATCCCCATAATGTTCAGACCTCTTTAGTGTCAGTGGGAAAACTGATAATGTTCTACTGATTTTGGATCAGTAGTTTTATAGAGACTGTATAATATTTATTAAATAGAAAATTTAAAACAACTTAATTCTCACTCATGCTAGACTAGCATTGAAAGGGGATAATGTCAAGGCTTTCAAAGACTAGAGGTTGGTCTACTGTATCTGTCCCATAAAGAGGGTCTTTTCTTCTAGTGCTTTGTTTTTCTTTTCTATATCTTTAAAAAATTAATCCAATATGTGGTGGCTGCTCTTTTAAATTTGTGATTTAGTGTGGGATTAGCAGTGAACATAGCAGGGTACATGTACTCTAACTGGCTTTAAGCTATAACACGTGACACTGTTTTTCTTATGAGTAAGGCAGGCACCTTTTTAAGTAGGTCTCTGAAGGTACAATAATTATTTGCAATTATTATCTGCAGTTGCGATAGTTATTTCAGATAAAAAAAGAGGAAACTCTTCAGATCTTTATAGAACTACAGATGAGGATCATCTCATTTTGTACTTAAACATCTTGACGGGTGTGCTTGTGAATAGTGTTAATTGACAAAAGGCAGGAAATACTGAATTACTTTTTCCTTGTCTGATTTTGTTGTTATTGCAGACACCCTGTCCTTCTGACACTCTGCATTGCCTAGTCATAATAATTGTTAAGGACACTGTGGCAGATGAACTGCATGGCACTGTGTTCCTTTTTACTACTTTCTTATCAGAACATAAAAATGGCCTTACTGAGTCAGACAAATGGTTCACCTAGCCCAATATCCCGTCTTCCAACAGTGGCCAGTGCCACATGGTTCAGAGGGAATGAACAGAACAGGGCAATTATTGAGTGATCCATCACCTGTTGTCCACTCTCAGCTCCTGGAGTCAGAGGGTTAGGGACACCTGGAGCATGGGGTTGCGTCCCTGACAGTCCTGATGAATGGACCTTGATGGACCTATCCTCCATGAATTTATCTAATTCTTTTTTGAACCCAGTTATACTTCTGGCCTTCACAATATCCCCTGGCAACAAGTTCCCCAGGTTGACTGTGCGCTGCGTGAGGAAGTACTTCCTTATGTTTGTTTTAAACATTCTGCCTATTAATTTCATTGATTGGCCCCTGTCCTTGAATTACGTGAAGGGGTAAATAATATTTTCCTATTTGCTTTCTCCACACCAGTCATGATTCTACAGACCTCTATTGTACTCCTCCTTAGTCGTCTCTTTTCTAAGCTGAACAGTCCCAGTCTTTTTATTTTCCCCCCATATGGAAGCTGTTCCATACCCCAGTTCCTAATACACCTGAATCTTCCCTCCCAGAACCATTGTCTCATTCATGCAATGAGACCCTGCAGTTCTAATTGGCCCTGCATGTGGAACTGGGTGCATTTCAGAGGATGCTACCATGAAGGTCCTGGACTTTAGTCTCTTACCTAGTAGCCAAAATTTGGCCTCCAGGACCCCTCTCCTACCTTCTCAATGTCATTGGTACCTACATGTACCATGACTAGGATTCCGTGACTTTCTGTGACCTTTGTGACTTCTGCAGTGGCCAGTGTGGCTGACCCTAGGGCCGCCCAAGCAGCTGGCTCCGGGGACAGCTGCTCAGGTGGCCCTGGGGACAGCCACACCAGCTGCTGCTGGAGTGGCCCCAGGGATGGCTGGAGCAGCCACGGTCCACAGCCCCCGGGCAGCGGTCCCTGGGCAGTCAGACGGCATGTCTGCGGCCCCCGGGCAGCGGTCCCTGGGTGGCTGGCCAGAGCAGCCGTGGTCCACAGTTCTGGATGGCCGGCCGGAGCAGCCCTGGTCCACGGCCCCCAGCAGCGGTCCCCAGACATCATCCCCCAGCAACCGCCCCCCTCCTAGCAGCAGGCCCCCTCGCCCCCCAAGATTTAGTCACAAGTATTTTTAGTATAAGTCATGGACAGGTCATGGCTGTGAATTTTTGTTTATTGCCCGTGACCTGTCCATGACTTTTCACTAAAAATACCTATGACTAAAACATAGCCTTAACCATGACCCACCGGCTCCTCCCTGGCACTGCACATAAGTCTATCTTGATGTCTTGAGAGGTCTGTACCTTTGCACCCAGCAGGCAATTCACCATGTGGTTGTCCCAGGCATCACAAACCCAGCAATATGTATTTCTAATAATTGAATCCCCCATCACTATTATCTGTCTTTTCCTAATAACTGGAGTCCCCTTCTCTGGAGGGGTATCCTCAGTGTGAGAGGATACCCTGATGTCATATTGGCCTAAGTTAGGAGCATGTTTGTTAGGCGTATCTGCCTCTCGCATGCCCTTGCAAAACTCCCTGGTTTGCTGCTCCTGTTTGTTAGCTCCTTTGGTCACTTATTAGATGGCTTTTTAAACCCCCTTTCCCTCTGAGTTAGCCATTCCCCCTTGTCAAGGGATTATGATGCATAAAAGTTTTCCTCCCCCGCCCGTCTCCAGAAATAAACCCACTAGTTTTCTTTCCTGATTATTTATTTCATTAGAAATATCTGCTCCCCTCTTGCCTCTCTTTGCTGGAATTCCTTGCTGTAGGAATTGGAGGACTTGACTAGTGATGTCACAGGAAAGTAACACTATGGGCAACTTGTCCTCATTTGAGGCAGGAAATTCCCTTGCCCTTGCCACAGTGGCCATTCTTACATTACATGTAGATCTTTCCTCCCTCCAGTGGAGGGAGAAAGATCTGCAGCTCAGGTGGCAGCCTCATTTGGTATCGCTAGTCAAGCCCTCCAAAGATCTCACCAGTAAAGAAAGGGAAGGAAGGACATAGAAAACATTCAGAGTTTTATTTGTTTTTTGGAGTGGGGAGAAGCATAGGGGGAAACTTGGAGACATCTCTTTTATATATAGTAAAGAAGCAGTAAAGGGCAATATAAATGTGTATAAAATTGCTTTGCAGGGCATCTAACAATGTTTAAGAATCATCATTATCTCTCCCTCTTTTGGGGTGAGGGAGAGCTTCAGTAAGGTTACAGCCTCATGTGACATCATTATTCAGGGCCTCCAAAAATCTTGCCAGGGTACTCCTGCAGAGAGAGGAAAAGGAGGACCTGATGTAAAAAAATAAAAGAACCCCAAACTCCTTTTTTAAAAAGTTTGAGACTCTAATTAATTTGTGACACACAGGAAAGAGACTGACCTTGTTCACCTGACATGGTCCTGGAATACATAAGGGTAATTAATATCCTCTGTCACATGACAAGAGTCTGTATACACAGAGTAGCAATTAAGGGGGAAAAAACAATTTTGGGTTGGTTTTGCAGTTCATTGCTAACTATGGAGTTCCCTGTGTTTCTCTCTAGAAGTTAACCTCTCCATTATTTTTACAAAGCTTTTTGTATTTAATATGGATTAATAAATAGGTCATTTAGATTGGTAGAAGGGCCCCTTGTCACCAGTTTTATGTTGTTTGATTAAGTCTGAAGGCTTCCCAAGCACAGGAAGAGAGCGCTTTGAGGAATCTGGATCGTCTGAATGATTATGAGCAACAGGTTCAAATACTAAAGGATGAGATTGCCATCCTGGGTGCCCAAAAATCTGTTCTTCACAGCAGGTATGGACCCTAATTTGACAAATCTTTAAAACATACACAGGAAGCAAACCAAAAACTGAATTTATGATCTCCCAAGCTAGGATAACATATGTTGAGCTGCTACTGAAGAGGAAGAGAAATTGCAGATACATAGTTTTAGATTGAAAAGAAAACATAAACTAAACCTCCCCATCCTATAATGAAGCAACATAAGCGTTTCCACCAAATTTATTTTGAAGGAAGAAAGGGGGGGTAATATTTTCATTTCAGCCTGTTCTGTTGAGCTTCAGGAAATGTACCAAAAGGACAGCCTTGCAGAATGTACTGAGAAACTTCTTATGGGCAGAAGCAATGCGTTATTTCTTGCTGTAAGGCTTTTGGAGCACCATACCATTCCAGTACAAGACTGTTTGCTAAATGTGCCATTTAGTCACTGTACATTGGTAATGGAAGAGGTACAAATTCCAGAAGTTTTACTTTTTAAAATTCTGTTTCTCTGGTACAAAGTGCTTACCTCCACACACTTTTGGAACTGCTTTAACTATATTGCTTTAGAAACCAGTTTATGGGAATAAGCTATACTGGGATACACAATTTTATACTGGTATAACAGCATCCATACTGGGGCTTGTACATCTTTAACTATATCAGTATAAAACCACACCCTAAAGCAAAATAGTTAAATTGGTATAAAAATTGTGTGTAGACCAGACCAAAACTTTCTAAAGGTAATGAGATGACCTTAAAACTACTTTTCATCACACTTTCAGACTTGCACGGAGTCGCTCTCCTTCTCCAAGGCCCTGTCGAAGTAGATCACCTAGTCCTCTTCCACTCAGGAGCTGCTCACCTGGCCGGGCCAGGCTTACGAATGCTGCACGTCATGCCCACCTGGTGGCTCGCTTTAGTGAGATTTATACTCAAGAACGCTTGGATGCACAGAACCTTCTGAGGACTTATATCGATGATCTGGAGATAGTGCAGAGGATAATATATGTTGCAGCTGTGGTATGAAATGTTTACAGTATTTTTTTCCATTACAGTTTGTGCACATACTTTATGTAAAAATAATATGACCTGGCTGGATTACAACTTGCTTCACTTGATACATTTTTTGTTGTTCCTATTTTTCATTTCAATTCCCTCAATTTAGTATCCTTTTGATCTTTTCTCTAAAACATGGCAGTTCCTGGCTGCGGGGCTCACACCACTTCATTTAAACTAGTTTTAAAAACGAATATTTACAAGCCACTAAGGCCTGTTCATATGATGCTTCACATTAAGTCACAGAAGATATCTAGATGCATATTTTCTGAATGTTCTGGGTATCATATAAGAACCTAGGTAGGTAGATAGAGTAGGAGATAGAGTAGGGAGTCAAGAGGAGTCCTTAATTCTATTCATGGCTTTGCCACAGCTCACTTTATGGCCTGTGGCAGGTTGTTTTACTTTTCTGAGCTTAATTTTCTCCCTCTATAAAATTGATGTAGTACTTAGCCATAGCAGAAAGATATTGTGAATCTTAATGGATATGGTCCTGAGAGGGGTTGAGCACCTGCAGCTTCCACAGATGTCATTGGGACTTGTGAATGCTCAGCACCAAGCCTTGATGGCAAGCATTGCTGTGTAAATGCAAAGTGTTATTTTTCCCTAAACTAGCAATTTTCAACCAAATTACACAATCAAACTACAAATCCTCTTACTAACAGACAACGTGTACTGCTGTAGACATGTTATGCTATAGAGCTTAAGATTCTAAGTACAACATCCTGTCCACTGACATCTTTGAATGTGTTAAACTGCAGTACTTGATTTTGCAAGTGTTGGAATCTTATGGAAAAATAGAAAGTTCTAGCTGGAAAGTCTGAAGCATTCTAATCTGATTTGTCACCTGGAATTTAAAAACAAGTGTGATGTATCTGAGAATACCCTCTATAAGGTGTATTGTTTCTAAACACCACCATTTTAATATGAGAATTTTTCTCCCCAGGAAACTATAAAGACATTTGGCCAAATTTATCTCTTGATATCAGTGAGGTTACTCTGGGAATGTGTCTGGACCATTGTTTGAAAATCAAACCTATTTTCTTGCTCAGAGTTATAAATATAACTGGTTGTTTTAACATTTGCAGGAGTCTTTCCATGCAGCGAAGATGGCCTTCAGACAATTCAAAATGCGTGTGAGAAAGACTCTGTCTCTAACTTACTCAGGGCCTGAATCACTTGAAGACACTGTCCTGGATTATATAGTTCGCCATGAGGATTTATATGATGTTCAAGCCAGTGTCAATGTAAGTCAGAGGCAATGTGAAGCCAGACTATTAATATTTTGTACAAACCTGAAATTCATCTTACTTTGAAGTAGTTTTACTAGGGAGAAGTTAACAGCATTAATTTCATCAATAAGTTTTCTCATACAGTAATATAACATGCTAGTGTTTGTATCTGTTTGATATACTTTTATTTGTGACTGTAGTGTCTGTTTTTGCAAAAGTAATGCCATTTGCAAAATAAAATCTAGCTACAGTAAATAAAACAACTGTATGATGCTTTCAGTAGTAGTCTAGGAAGCACTGTACTGCACTCAAAATCAGTATACCAGTCCTAGGACTGATGTCAGCATTAATGCTGATATTGTGATGTCATTTCAGAAATAGAGGCAATAGTCCCTGAAATAACATAAGGCAGCATCTTTGGTGTTCTGTGTACCTTTTATTTAAGGGGGTTTTGTGGTAGTGAAAGTTAGGAGGGTCAAGTGTTTCAGTATCGGCCCGTCTGTAATTACAAAGCTTTGGTAAGCTCAAATTCGTCATCACTAGTGAGTAACTAGATATGTTATGTTTATTTTCAGGAAGTAATTCGTGCCATGAATATCAATCCTAAAATTTCGTTCCCACCAGAAGTTGACTTCATCATGATCAGCAGTTTGATTCGGGAGTTGTGCCGTGTAGCTTTTTCAATGCAGACCTTGGTTCCTCCCCTCGATATTGCATTTGGTGCAGATGGAGAACTTTTTAATGAGAGCAAGTAAGAACTCTGAAATATTCAGTAATAGACTCCTACCATAGAAATTAGAGATGGAAAAGACCCATCAGGCCACATAGTCCATCCTTCAGCCAGTTTAGCCTATTTAAATTACAGTTTAAGATTGCTGGTAAACTTTACTTGTTTAGTTTGAGTTCTATTTCCCTACTATGTAGCACATTTGGTAGATAATTCAAGGGTTGTAGTGGAATATGTATGCAAAGTATGTAAACTTTGGGCAATATATTTCACTTATTAGTCACTTTTTCAACCAACAGGGCAACAATTTTATCTATAAACTCCAGTCTCATGTGTATATTTGATTATAAAACCTTTACTAAAAATATTAAGAACAATCTTCCTCTCACTGCCAAATTCCCCTCTGCTACCAATGTATTAAAAAGATTCTTCTTGCTACTTCCTCCATTGTTACTTGCCCAGTTCATTAGAAGCAAAGTTCCAGTGAGCTCTGACAGATAGTGCCTGCCTTCAAGGGTCTCACAAATCTCAGGATTCTCTGCACATCCTTTCTGGCAGCTGTTCTGTGGATTCTGAGCTCTTTGGTGCCCCATCATCACTTGTTGCCACAGATCAGCATGGAAGGAGAAGCCACTTCTTAGAGAAGTGAAAATCCTTTGTAGAAATGGGATTTTCTTTAACATTTTGTGAACTAGGGTTTAAGGGCTCTTTCAAGGCTCAGAGTTGGCTGCTCTGTGAACTGATAGAGAATCCTAGAGCACTTCTGAGGCCTTCCAAGCAAGCACCAGAGTCCACTGCTCAAAGTAAATTTGCTTTCAAGGAGGAAGAAGTTAAATAAGGGGGCAAAAAGAAAGGCAACAACAGCAAGAAGGCTTAAAATAATTACTTTAAAACTGGAGGGAGGCAGAGGGGAACAGGTGAAGTAGTCATGGAGAGAGAGGAGGAATGAGAGGAAGGTGAAGCTTCAATGGGACAAAAGCAAAATCAGACATGATCAGAAGACATGGCTTTAGCCAGTTGCTGACCAGCCAGCTGTTTTGGCTATATTAGAAGGGCAATGGCCCCTAACTATTTTTAGTGTTATCACCCTTTCTCAGTCAACTAGATGTGTTTGGCCTTCAAAAGACCAGGGAGTGAGACAGAAGATAGAACCAATACATTTAAAAAAACCCTAAAAAGTCCAAAAATAGTTTTTCTAGACTTAAAAATATCACTGTTTTATAGGCCATTATCCTGGGATCTTTAAGGGCAGGGAACAAGTCATGTGTCCCACTGAAAAGGTGGAACTCTCCAGTGCCTAAGGGTAGATAGCTCCTGTTTCTAGCCCTCATGAATCATGAGATACCAGACCTTAAATATGTTTTTAGTCAGGACTGACCATTGCCCATCCTGCACCTAAGACTAGGGTAACTTTGGGAGTGGAAATGTTAAAATTTAAATTATGTAAAAAGGAAGAATTGCAGCAGTTTGAAAGTACTCAGAGGTTTTAAGGTACATGAAAAGTGCAATTTATAACACGGCCCTGCAATTTATTATATGGATATCACCAATAGACATGTGATGTAGATAGCTTTGTGTATATGTGTTTATATAATATGCAAGCATCAATAAACAAGTGTGCTGACAAAACTGTTTTAACACAATGATAAATTTTCTCTTGTGGCATAAAATGAACAGCTTATTGTTACCATCTGTGGCTTCTGACAAAACTAAATATGGAGGGTAACTTTATGATGTTACTGTGACTGACCTACTGAAACCCATGACGTCGGGGAGACTTTTGGTTCATAGAAGAAGGCCTCAAATTGAGGGAAAGTCCTATGTTTAACATGGAACTGTGGGGAACTGACTGTGGACATTGGTCAGGGAGGGAGAAAAAAGATGGAGAGGATTTGTGGGGGATGTGCAAAAGAGCAACATTTATGGGGAGGAGGAGAGATTGAAAGGATTGGTGTCTCCCAAGGTAACTTTGCTGGGCCCCCAGAATCCTAAATCTGGCCTTGCTAACTAGTTTGCCCAAAATCCTTTAAACTGGTTTCTTTGAAGGAAACTGATATTGTCCATTTAATATTTATTCCTAATTCATTTTTATTGTTGTATCTTTTATCTAATCATTTTTTGACAAGCAGTCCCAGGAAGATGTAATATGCATTGATTATCCAAACTCTGCACTTCATGTTGCCTGTCAGTGATGAAAGGGCTCTTGCTTACACCTGGGCTAAGCAGGTGTGCATCTGATGTGAAAGATTATTGTAACAAAATTTCTATTGGCACTGGCAGACCACATATGCCTATGTTAGATGAGTTTCACACAAGTACATTCCTTTTTTATACTTTATTTTTACATGTACCATTGAAATATTGTTAAGAAACATATTTACAAGCTATAATAAATATTCTGGCCTTATCAAGCGTAGCCATCACTGGTTTCTTTTATCATTAACATGGTAATATCCTCTTTGCTGTGTTTGAACAGATACCGTCGCAGCTATGACTCTGATTTTACGGCTCCCTTGGTGGTCTATCATGTGTGGCCTGCTCTGATGGAAAATGATTCTATTATTGTGAAGGGAGAGGCAGTCTCAAAGAGAGGTGCTCTGGTACGTACCCTTGGACTTGCTAAGGAAAGTCCTCCTATTTAAATTCTCTACAATGCAACTCTACTACAGGCAGGATTATTGTGTATCAAATCTCGATATTTATTTAGGGCCTGATCTTGTCAACACTTTCCATGCATTTAATTTTGCACATATGAGTAGCTCCATTGGCTTCAACATGCTGCTCATGTGCTTAAAGGTTAGCATGTGAAGTGTTTGCAGGATCACGGCCTTAGTTTGGGAAATATTCTTCTATTCATATAGTTAAGCCTTGACTTCAGCAAAGTAAGGCTGCTCCCAAATTTAGTTTGAATGAATGTACTTTTCTTAATATAGATCTGTGTCATACTGTGTTTTATTGTAGTGGTCTCGCAGGAGCAGGAGTAAAAGCAGAAGCAGAAGCCGCAGCATGAGCCCTATTCTGTCTCATTCTGCAAGCCCCAGCCGCACCTTGGTACAGTATAACATATCAATCATTTTACACTCAATATCATTAACAGAATCTAGGCATTCAGTAACATTACAAGCCATACGCACATGTTGAACCTGGGAAATAAGCATGCATATTGACAATCTTGCGTGGAATAAGATGAAGCATTATACTTACAAATAGGTACTTATGTACATCTGCTTCTGCATGGTGCAAAATAGGTGTTGAGTGTTACCATGTTAGTCAAATATGTAAAATTTGTTGATAAATAATATGGTCAATTGCTTGACCACACTTTGGTTTGTTATGAAATATATTCAAGTGGCCAAAATAATTAATGTCAGTCAGGTTTATTGCTCTAAGCCAATAATGACAGAGTAAAGGAAAATGGTTCTATGTGATACCATTCTCCGGGAAGTCATCTTGTGCAGCAATGTTACATTCACCTTATGCAGAAGGTGGGCTTCCAAAGTTCCATGTTTCTGCTGGCATTATTTATATGATGATTTTACAAGTTACACAGCTCTTGATGTATCACTGAAATCCAACCCATATGTTCCAGCTCCTTCACTTTTTGTTCTGTTTCTTCCTTATCTTTGTTTTGGATACTAGCATTTGAGGTACTGGTCCATGAAGGTACTTCCCTGGCTTGTACTAAGACACACAATAAATGTATCTTGATTTTGACAAATTTCCTATTTGCTTATGCCAAATGCTTACTTTAGCAAATGCAAGGAGTTATGGGATACTTACCATATACTTCACTTATGCTATAGGCGAGTTTAGGCTACCCCACTATTACAATATTTGTGCATAATGTTATTGGTGCTTTATACATACTTATATGGTGTGGTGTGTGTGTCTATGTGTATATATATTGGGGGCCCACCTTCTGCATAAGGTAAATGTAAAATTGCTGCACAAGATGATTTCCCAGAGGATGGTATTATGTAGAACCATTTTCCTTTACTATGTTTACCAGTATCGTACATGGCGTGTGTGTGTGTGTGTGTGTGTGTGTGTGTGAATGAAAAACTGTATGGTAAACTATCCTTAGTGCAGATCAAGTGTAGACTAATGAAAGTATTGATAGATTGTTGGTCTTATGTATATTATTTGCTGTCCTCCCTGTCCAGTTCTGCAAGTCTCCACCTTCTCTGACTTCCAGTCTCTCCTAAATTATCAAGTACAACCACCCAGAAGAATTTTAGGGCTCTCACTATATATAAATAGCACATTGTCCTTGCTTCTTAGAACTAGCAGTCTAAATTGACCCTCTAATGGAAGGCAGGAGCAACAAATCAGTGAGGTGGGGTTAGCGAAGGAAGGACTGAGCTCACAATAATAAGATTATGGGAGTGTGCATAAAAACTTTTCTGTAATTTTTGAATGATATTTGAATAGTTACCTGTATATATAATTTAAAATTGTTTAATCATACTATATATTTTGTGTGTGTATCTATTGTTAAGGTATTTATTTAATATAATATAAATGGAGTGTATTTATATATAAAAATATATATATTTTTATATATAAATACACACATACACACTGTGTGTGTATAAAATATGTGTGGGAGCATATAATAAATAAATACCTTATCATTAACAATATTTTGGTAGACTCACTTCTTGTGGGTGTCACGAAAGAAGAATGAGAGGAGGTAATTTGCTGAATTAAGCTTGAAGGTGGTATAGAGAACCCTCCTTTTAGTTGCCTGGCTGGTGGGTCTTGCCCACATGCTCAGGGTCCCACTGATCACCAGATTTGGGACTTGGTGGTTTGTTTGCCTTCCTCTGCAGCATAAGGCAGAAGTCACCTGATAGGATCATCTGGGCTTATCCTACTTAATCAATTCCCCATCATTGAGGGGCTGCAGGCATTGGTAGCACCTCAGTCTCCCCTGTTCTCTGCCTGGGGCACACAACCATTTAGTCTTCTGAGGACTGAAATGCTTTAGTCTTACCCAAGTTACTGGGCTCAATACAGGGTACCAGGGTGAAATTTAATGATCTATGACATACAGGAAATCAGACTAGATGATTTAGTGCTCCTTTCTGGCCTTAAACTCAATGAAATCTCTGAAATCCATGCCACTGTAAGTTCCACTTTGCATCATTCGTGTAGTTACATCAGTGCAAATTTTCTGAATGTAGACAGACTCTGAGATGCTTCCCTGGAGTGTAATGCCTTTTATTGAACCTGGTATGCTGACTTGCTCTTTGCTGTTTGCCTTGCAGTTACCTCGAAGTCGCAGCCCTTCCCCAATAAGGAGCGGAAGCCCAAGTAAGTGGGCGTATTCAGAATACAATGCCTCATGGTTTTCACATTAAGTGCTTGAAAGATTGAGTAAAGAGATCAAATAACACTGTGCACGTCTTTGTCTCCGACACACTTGTGGTGTTTTTAAAATGAGTGGCCCTTCACTTTTTCATTTTGTGAAAAGGCCAATGTTTCTGACTTTGGTAGGGCACCTTCTTTCTCATCCCTTCCAAACCATTATCACAATGTCTCTGACTGCTGGTTGCCTTTATGCTATGGCCAGCCAAGTACCCCCCACAGCTTCCTCCAGAACTGTCCTATAGTAAGTACAATTTGGCCCCTCTTCCATGAGAGAAGCAGGCAACTCTATGACTACTGGCTCTATACCTACAAATTCCAAATGGACTGGCTAACTGACCAGGATGAAATGAGGAATTTTTCAAAATTTCAAATGAAGTCCCTTCTTGAATCCACTCAGTGTAGTTACTTAGAAAAACAGCCATACTGAAATGTGTATTTTTCTCCAATAGGACTTTAAATTAACTGGATATGTTTCTGTGATTCTGTACATCCGGATCAGTCAACTTCAGTGGTGCCTCCTCCTGTTCCAAGAGTACCTCAAACCTCACTTAAGATAATGTGAATGGCAGTTTTGTGTTACTCCAAAGGGAGGGTTAAATGTCATTTTTGCTTAGTGTGTTTTTATAAGTTTAGTAGGTTTTTTATCATTATAGAAATTAGTTGAACCAATTTGATAAAAATTGCATAGACATTTAGGATCATACTCCCTATGGCATAGAGTTTACACAGCTTTTAGCAACCCTTGCAGAAATAGAGCAGCAGATCTAAGGATCACATCTAGAACATTTTTACCTGAAACAAAAGGATGCCATTTATTTTGACAACATATTTAACATCACATGAACATTACAACTTGTTGAGATTAGCTGTTACTTGAAAACAATGTCACTAGATGGTGCTTATTTACATTTCTAGAAGGCAGCACTAATCTCAGGATGAAACTTTTAATTACGTGAATAGCATTGTTTTGTCACTGATGTATCAACTGACGGTGGTCTCTGTTGTCTGACTGATGAAATACCGGTAGTTTATGACTGGCACAAGTGACTACAGCATTTCAGTCTCCAGGTCTTCAGTTACATTGATTTATGAAAGCACACAGCTAATGGGTTGTATGAAGTGTTGTGCTGGTTTTGGCATGGAATTCACTGTGCTTGTTAAATTCAGTCTGTTACTGAAGAAAGGAATCTCACTAGTGGTTGCGATTTGGACCTTACTGATATTTCAAAAGTGTGTCACTGAACATATTGAGGTTTGAAATACTTGCTTGGGATGCATTAACTATTCAGTATCTCCTCCAAATGCATACAGAACAAGATTTGAGCCTCCATTTGAACACAATCACAAAAGCTTGGCTATTAAAGACAGTAATTTGCTGCATTCTGAATTAAATAATTGATTATTTTGGTCTCAGAAGTATATTGGTTCTTCTGCCATTTTAAAGGATTTCTTGTCCATTTGTAAAAAGTTCATGTTAATATCAGAATATTTGTTTCTAAAAGAACTGATTTTCTTTTTTCTCTCCTGAACCTCATCTATAGGGCCAGCCTTAAATACAAGCAACACAAGTGACTGCTTGGGGCCTTGTGCTTTTACATAGGAACCTAGGATGTGTAATAATGGATCTGACCATTAGTTCATCAAGTCCAGTATCTTGTTTCAGTCCAATACCTGATGCTTCAGAGGAAAGTGGAAATTTCCCATAACTCAGCTTCCTGGTTGTGGAATGTAAATGGCTGCAGGCAGGAGGAATTCCTTCCTGTCCCATGTTGCAATCAGCTTATGCCCCAAAACATGAGATTTCCTTACTTTCATTGTAACAAAATCCATAGTTGTACCCGCTGTTAGTCATGAAGTTATTTAACTCTCTAAAAATTCACCTACATTCATTAATTCCATGACCTCTCTTAAGGGGACTTGTGCAGACTTGGTACACTCCCTTCTTCCTCCCCACAACTGCAGGGCTGTTTGAGGCTCTACAAACTTTAAGACCAGACCAGCCCAACTTCACTATACACTACTGTAACTATAATGTCACAATTGGTGCCTGTATACACAAACTGTGGGCCTGATTCAGCTCTGACCCTGGTTTTATACATATGTAATGTAAAAGTTACTCCTGATTTACACCAGGGTGAGAGATCTATGAGGGCTGGTATATGCAGAATCATTTCCACAGGTTCTCAGAATGAAGTGAGAGACACACCGAAATGGAAAAGGCACTCAAGTACGTGGTGGGCTCTCTTGTTGTCTGTGAAAATCAATGCACATATGGCCTCTGAAATGAACATTTAAAGAAGTTTGTTCCCTCTTATAAGCTCTTATATTGTTAGTTACAGCCAGGGAGCTGGGGTTATGGTTATTCTGTATACTTACACATCAACCCCATTATTAATATCTCTAGATAAATGTCTTGATTTTGAGCACTTGCAGCACTGAAGTCAGTGATCATAAGAATGATCATACTTGGTCAGACCAAAGGTCCATCTAGTTCAGCATCCTGTCTTCCAACAGTGGCCAATGCCAGGTGCCTCAGAGGGAATGAACAGAACAAGTAATCATTGAGTGAGCCATCCCCGTCGCCTGAAATAATCAGGTCCCTTCTTCAGGTGTCTAAATATGGACTTAGGTGCCTAAGTAATCAATATCACAGAATCTAATAATTGTTTCGGGCCAAAGAGATATGTTTTAGTAATATTAGCGTTCAGGTTTGATATATTATTTGACTTCCACATGTTCACTACAAAGACACACTAGATCACAATCTCTGTCATTTGACACATATTGTTCTGACAAGAAGCAGATTTTCATAACCAATTATAAGAAAATTAAATATCTTACAAAAGAGGCACAAACATATTTAATGGCCTGGGATCCATGATGGCCCCAGAGACACACCCCAGCAATACCTTTAGATGAAGTATCCCGCAAAGAACTAAAAATGCAAGTTCAGAAACAAAGATTTAAAACACTTGAGGACCACATCATATACAGAATTGACCAAATGAGCTAACTGAGCGCTCTGGTCACTTCTCTCAAGGTAATAGAAAAGTTTAAAAGAATTAAAGTGAGTGCACACTAGATTTTGCAGGGAGAAAGTGGCTTTGTAATACCTTGAAAAATGTAAAAGTTAAATAAAAAATAAGCTTGATAAACAGTTCTCACTCTCTACCATGTTGGTCTGTGGAGCCAATAGCATTTAGCAAGGTGCATGATGTCATTAAGAGAATGATGTTTTTAATTGGGCTTCAATTCAGCTCATTTATAGTCATTTAAATTAGTGAGTATGTCGGACAAGGGATTTTTTTTTTTAGTGATGAGTCAGACATTAACAGGCTATATACTGCCCTTTATCTACATGCACAACTCCTCCTGACAACAGTGCAATTTGTACATGCTGATCATTGTTGGTGTATGACCCTGTGTGATTGACAATAATGCACAGTTGCCTTATAAAAAGGGAGCTCTGTAATTTCTCTCAAGTGCTAAGTGGAAGAATCATCAAACAGGAATTGTATAGCACACATACATGTAAATAAAGTATTAAAAACCTTCAGGGAGAGCAAATATATTATAACAAATCAGTGTAAATGCCACACAGGTAGTTGTAACAAAATAATACAGGTGGCATAAGTGCAGAAATGTTTGCTGACATGATTTATGTAAGCTGCAAAATGAATATGATCAGTGGGGTTTATGCTACAAGATTGTTCCAATACAGTGTTATTCATGATGTCAGTGATAATCCTGAAATGTTAGGCCAAATTCAGATCTGATCCAAGCCCTGTATAATCCCACTGAGATAAATGAGATTGCCTGGGATGTAAATCAGCACTTAATATGGACCAGTGCATTTGTGTGGACATAATGTATGTTTTATATAAATGTTGTAATAGCTGAAGAGTTTCCCCTGCATATCAGCACTGTCAAAGCTGATTTTGAATGGCTGAAGAAAAGATCATCCCATAGTCTAATCTAAATCTGATATCTTTTCTATTACCTATTTCTGAGGAGATACTGTGGCATCAACATATGGATTCTCCTTCACTTTCCCTTCTTCTCTATGAGCAAATGATTTTAATATATCCCAGAATATCACTATATACAATCAAGAGTTACCAAGATGGATTGCTCATCTTAGTACCACGCAGTGGGAGATCCAAGTTCAGAAGCAATCTTGTGCTGCTTTTCCACCTATCTTGGGGTGGGAGTTTGCGATGGTGATGCTGGGCCAGGGTAGTATACATCACTCTAGGAGGACCTGGAGGAGAAGGCAGAGGAGGCAAAAGCTATCCAATTACCCAAGGTGGTAAACACCCTTCCATCTTCCTGGACCAGTTGGTGCCCTTTAATCCTTCTTTTGCGTCTGTTTTAAATGTATTGCAAAGAATGTCTTTATATAAAAGTGCAATCAACTATTAATTCTCTTTCTTAGCCTTAGATAACATGGCTTTGTCATAAGTCATTCATCTTCGATTGCAGTTGTCTAGAGAATTATGTTCTTAGTTTGGTTTGAAATAGCCTGGCTTTGCATTAAAGAAACTTGAAAAATGAATTTATTTTGTTTGCAAGTGTTTTAGCATATGGTACATTCAGGCTGAGTGCGCTTTCTGTGTTTCTGGATTGTACTGTATCTCTCGTTCATGCAGTATGGATCAATTACATTTAAACAGAAATATCTGCATCTTGTTTCATAGTTGAACTCAAATTTCCTGATATTGAAAAATGATGTGAGGAAATCTGTCAGCATTTTGCTGACACAGCATGTGTTATTTATTCAGGAAATACACATTTTACTCAGTACATTGTTATACCAGTTCTTGGCACTCTGCTTTTTGAAGTGAAAGTAGAAACACAAACAATGTACATCTGAAAACAGGCTGTTGACTTTTAAGAGTGCTGATCGTGCAAGCAAGAAATGCTATAACTAAATTCTCTATGAAAATTAGAACTGATTTTAAACAAAAAAGTCAGTATGCAGATGTTATTTAACTTTGTGTCACTTTCTGTGAAATAGACCGTCTTACAGGGCCTCATGCCCAATAACCTATATACTGACTTCTTTGTTTAAAAATAAACACTTCATAAAAAAGATGATTTTAAAACTAATTTGAAACTAAAGCTAGTTGTTCCTTTTCACAGCATTACATCTTAGAGGAAAATATTCAGTTTCCACACTTGTAAGATGAGTATAACTTACCTTTGTAAAATGCTTTGCGGGCTTTGGCTAAAGGATTATAGGTTAGATGATCAAAATATCTGGAGATTCCTATGATGCTGAAAAAATATTAGGTGAAGAATATTTTCTCTTTTATTATGAAAGTCTGTTTTCTGGAAAAGAAGGTGAAATGTCTGTATCACTGTGGGTTTTTTCTATCAATGGAAACAGACTGTGGAACAAAGAAAATTGAAAACCACGGAAGATAGACACAAATGGGAATGACTCAAAGTTCTATTCAACATCTCAGTGCTAACTAGTTGGATACAGTTATTTACTTTCTGGAAATATTTATTTTAAAATTTTGCAACTCTCATAAGAAATGGCTTGCCACATAGTTTTGTAAGATCATAACAAGAAATTATCAGAAACTAAAAATGTTTACCAATGAAAGGGATTTGCAGTAGTAGGAGATTCATTTGCATTTGTTAGGCCTTGGCTTTATGACATCACTCATGGTGGTAAGAACATGTTGCAATGCCACATTTAGCAGGGTTGGGGGTGGACAGTTTCCTTTCCCTTAAATTTTATGTATAATTCGTTATTGGCTTTAAATTTCAATTATAAATTTAATTTCTTGAGACTCATGTATTGTACTAAACCAAACTTAAAAGCAGTTTCCAAATAAATAATACTTCTGGGGGAATTCTGCACCACTGCGCAATGCAGAATTTTGCAGAAATTAATGTTGTGTGTGCAGAATTTCCTTTCCCCCCAACAGAAATGGGTTGTAGAGATGTTGGCTGCCACTAGGGGCCGCTGCACTTGGCAGAACCCAGCTCACAAATAGAAGACAAGGCTGCAGGGAGGAGGAGGGAACTGGAGGCTTCCCAGCAGCTGCAGTTCCCAGCACGACCTGATTCCAGCATAGGAAACTCTGTGCAAGCCCAGAACCCAGGATCAGGCTTTTTTTCCCTCTGGATCCCTAGGATCTAGGAGGGTAGGGGATGCGAGTGTCTGGGCTGGGCGGGGAGGGGCGCAGCTGGGCACTGGGGAGGTTAGGGGGTGTGAGTGTCTGGCCCCCCGGCTGGGTTCTGGCAGGATGGGGCAGAGAAACTAGAATTGGGTTGTTGTAGGGCAGGGGTGGGCAAACTTTTTGGCCCGGGGGCCACATCTGGGTGGGGCAATTGCTTGCAGGGCCATGAATGTAGGGCTGGGGCAGGGGTGTGGGAGTGCAGTGTGCAGGAAGGTGCTCAGGGCAAGGGGTTGGGGCGCAGGAGGGGGACGGAGTGTACAAGGGCTCAGGGCAGGGGATTGGGGTGCAGGAGGGGTGCAGCAGGGGGTTTGGGGAGCTCAGGGCAGGGGGTTGGAGTGCAGGGTGTGTGGCAGGGGGCTCAGGGCAGGGGAGTGGGGTGCAGGAGGTTAGGGGGCTCAGGGCAGGGGGTTGGGGTGTGGGGTGCAGGAGGGGTTCAGGGTGTAGGCTCCAGCCTGGAGCCGCTTACCTGGGGTGGCTCCAGGGTGGCAGCGGCACGCAGCCAGGCTAAGGCAGGCTCCCTGCCACCCCTATGGCCCCGTGCCACACTGCACCGCTCCCAGAAGTGGCTGGCACCATGACCCTGTGGCCCCTGGGGTGGGCAGAGGGTGCTGTGCACTGTCCTCACCTGTGGATACCTCCCCTGAAGCTCCCATTGGCTGTGATTCCTTGTTCCCGGCCAATGGGAGCTGTGGGGGGTGGTGCCTGCAGGCGAGGGCAGTGCACGGAGCCCTCTGCCCCCCCTCCCCTTTCCCCAGGGGCCGCAGGGATGTGGTGCTGGCCACTTCTGGTGGTGTCACGGGGCCCGCGGCACCACGGGGGTGGCAGTCCCGTGGGCCAGATCCAAAGCCCTGACAGGCCAGATCCAAAGCCCTGATGGGCTGGATCTGGCCCGCGGGCCGTAGTTTGCCCACTCCTGTTGTAGGGGTTTCTTTAACTCTACCCCGGGGGAAATTTTTTGTGTCTCCACTTTTACAAACATACCTGCTGACAGGTATTTTGAAAGAAATTACCAAAATAATTGAAATTGGCCTGATTATATAATGCTATTTTGTAGAATTGCAGAATTGTAAATTATTGTGCGCAGAAATTTTAATTTTTTGGGACAGAATTCCTCCAGAAGTAAAATAAATTCATGGCTTCCATTGAGCTTTGGAGACAACTAGATCAGGAAATGAGAGATACTATCAGGTATAACATAAAGTTCTCATAGGTGCACTGTCAAAGCCTTCAATTCCGACAAGAATACTTTGCCTTTGTAAGAAAGGAAAGTTTATTCTTCCTCTGTGCTAATGTAGGTCAGTCATGGACCTCT